ATTCAGAAATGTATACACATATTGTTTTGTGACATTGGTTGCAATCCCCACAATGTGACAACACACTCCCCCTTTTCACTCTGAGTTCCCCGTTTCTGGGTTTTAACGTATTTCTGATCTGGCCCCAACTTACATTTCAAGGTTCATTTCCTGCCACTGTGTTTTCCCTAATGCCCTCTCTTCCCCTCTCTTTCCCTCCCGTCTCTACACACACACACACACACACACACAATACTCCAGACCTATCACATTCCATTCCCCAAAGGCCTTCCTTGCTCCATGTTCTTCCAAGCTACCATGATGACCCAGATCTAAAATGCTGTTTCCTTTTTTGTCCACGTGGAGATCCATATGATTTCTTTATTATCCAGTTTTATTCTGAAGCCTCTCAATCATACAACAGCTAAGTTTCAGACACTGGTTGGTACTTGTGATTAAAAAAATGAGTGAAACAGAGTTATGCTGTCCTGTGGGTGAGACAGAAAACCACACAGAAAGTCAATATGGGGTTTAAATGTTTGATAGGGATGACGTTCATGGGTATTTTGTGCAAGGCTGGCTCCATCCATGTTCCTATACACCTTGTAAGTGCCTCTGTGTATAAAAGTCTCCCTCGTCAGACTGCGAGCTAACCCAGGTCAGATATGACGCCCTCACCTTGGCGTCCAGCGCCTAGGACAGCACCAGGCACAGAGTGGGCAGTCCATAATTTTTTTGTAATTGAATGCATGAGTCTTAAAATGCAGCATGACCTGTGTAGGAACATGTGAAGAGAAAAAAAAGAAATAGTTTTCAAAGTTGTGGCAACCTTTGTGGAATGGGGCCAAACTCAATACTGTCCTCTTCGTAGGCTTTTAAGGAATCTTGTCAGAAGTTCTATCATGCAGAGCTGGAGGAGCTGTCCTTCGCTAAAGACACAGAAGAATCCAGAAAACACATAAACAACTGGGTCGCAGAAAGGACTGAAGGTGAGAAGTTTTAATATCTGAAGGCTTGGAGTTATGAAGGGAAGACAGGCTGAGGTTGGCTGGGAGGTGGCTTCTGCAGTGTTGGCACCGTGGCCTGGTTACCAGAGGTCTGTTTGTATGTTGCTGGTTGTTGGCATTTGCTGAGTTTCCAGTCTAGCGACACGATCCTGTTATTTCTCTTGGGCTTGTCAGATCATGAAGTCTAAAAAATATTTAAACCTAGTGTTCTAATGTCAACCCCTCTCTCCTTGGGACTGTGCTGAAAAATCCCTGAACAATGCCTCCTGAACAATGCCTCCTCTTTGGGCCCTGTTTATCTTCCATCTGGGGGGACCCTTACCATGTTCTGAGGGCAGAATATCATTCGATTAAGTCACATCTTAGAGATGAAAACATTTCGTCTTACCTCCTGTGGTAATTCGAATAGCTCAATTTCATCCACAGCTCTCTCCCCGCATTTTAACTTGACAATGACTAAGTTTGCTTTCAGAGGGTGACCTTTTTTGAATTTGCTCTGGACTCTGGTTTCTGTGCAGTATCTGTGGGGCCTGCAGGTCCCCTGTCCAGACCATGTGCTGTCTCACGAAAGACATTGCTGCCATCTCTTGCCTGGAGTACAGAGAAAAAGAGGACATGCTTTTACATACCCTGAATATTTAACACATCATTGAGGAACTTGCAAAACATAACCAAAGAAAGAAAAAAACCTATTGCTATTGAGTTGATTCTGATTCATAGCGACCCTGTAGGGCAGAGTAGAACTGCCCCGTAGGGTTTCCAAGGCTGTAATGTTTATGGAAGCAGACTGCCATATCTTCTAGCATGGAGCAGCTGGTAGGTTCAAACCACCAACCTTTCTGTTAGCAACAAAGCACTTAATTACTGCATCACCAGGGCTCTTTTTCCAAAAAATAGGGGATTAAATTATATCACGTGTTTATCACACACTCATTATTTCATCCTTCAACCTTTACTGCACACCTGCTGTGTAGCAGGCAGCAGCAATGCCCACAATGATACTGAAAACCAGTAAAATAATTATCATGGGAAGGGAAGCCTTCCACTGTTCCACACGCCATCTGTCCAGTGGCCTCTTGCTCTCCAGCTGATCCAAGAGGACTGTCACCTGGGGGGCCAGAAGCTTCTCCACACCTCACCCTTCCTATCCAGTCACCTTCCCTCCATGTCTGTGCATACCCTTCTTTCCATCCAGCTGACCACCCACATATCTCCTAGGATTTTAGAGCTGGAGGGAACTTTGGAGATCACCTTGTCCCCTCTCTCATTTGACAGCTCACCTCAGGTCCCTCTATCCCATCTCCCCGAATTCGTTTGCTCCATCTCCTGTTTCAGGTAGCCTACTTCATGTCTTTAACTCCCAAATAGCAATAAACTTCTGTATTCTTTAAAGGGAAAATTTCAGAGGTGCTGGGTGCTGGAACCATTGACTCCCTGACTAAGCTGGTCCTTGTGAATGCAATCTATTTCAAAGGAAAGTGGAAGGAGCAATTTGACAAAAACTACACAAGAAGAATGCCCTTTAAAATCAACCAGGTAGGGACACATTTTTCAGATATCTTGCTATTCTTCTGAAGTAAAAAGGTGGGAAAGAATTTTAAATAAAAAAAAAAATTATTTCAGACTCTCTTGATCTATTTTTGAATGAGTTTCATGTCCCCTGTGTATCTTTTATTTGGGGTGGGGGTGGGGGGAGGACAAAAAGTAAAATAGCTTTCATACTGATAGTTCTGTTCTTCCATCCTTGACAAGTACATCTTCTACCTCTGGTTATATTATTTGGATTGGAATTTCTTCTAAGCTCTGGAAACTTTTTGTATGATGCTATCAGGGTCTATATTTATTTAGACATTTTCTTAGAATGTCAGGGACAGCTATGTCTATTTATTGCCTTAGAATTCATACTGTACAATTCCAAACACAGGAAAAAAGACACGTGAGTAGATGTTAAAGCGAACCTCGCAAACACTTTTTCTACACTCCGTTTTGAATGTGATCACGTCTAAGGTCAAGAGTGGTTAGCTTGGAATTCGGCCTCCGTCAACATGATAATAGCATATTGCTCAAAGATATAAAAGTGAAAAATATATTTGATGTAAGCTTAAAAAATGGTGGGCCCTATACATCTTATCAAAGTCCCTTCTCCCAAGTAAATCAAAATCATGAAGCCAATGATAGAACTGGGCAACTTTTCAGGGTAAAAGTAGAACTCCCTTTGGTCCATCTTTTCTAACCAGATCCTTCCAACCAAAGGCCTGAATATTACTTAATCCTCCTCTGAACTTGGAGAAATAATTTTTAATTATAAGGTCCATGGGAGTGCTTTTCTATTCATTTGCTCGAAAGAGAAGAAACAAAACTCCTTCCAAAATAAGGTAGAGGATTTTATGTCTGTATTTGCCAACCTATTGTCTCTCACATGGTGATATTTGATCTGCTGAAACAATAGCATTTTGTACTCAATACAGAGATATACTAATGAAGATTTCACATCTACAAGCGTAAATCCACAGAACTAATAATTCTCTTGTATTTGTACCTTAGAGATTCTTCTGAGTTCGAGGTATCTGATTTTTGGTAAACCGTACTCATTTTCCAGTAATTTAATTTTAATTTCATGTTTTCATCAGGATAAAAAGACAGTGCAGATGATGTTTAAGCAGGCTAAATTTAGGATACGGTATGTGGACGAGGTGCACACCCAGGTCCTGGAGCTGCCCTACGTGGGGAAGGAGCTGAGCATGGTCATTTTGCTTCCGGATGACGACACCGACCTCACCGTGGTAAGCCCTCGGCAACATCTCTGCATGTCTGTAGATTCCAGCCTGAGCTCATTTTTTTAGTCCATCCCCCAGATAGCATTTGAGGAGTTTCCAGTTTTTACAAATAGTGCTGAGTCAACACCACTGCGTGTCTTTTGGGAACATGTGTACGCATTTCTGTTGTGTATGTAAATATCAATTGGTTCAGAGAATTCTAAACTAAAAAGCATTTGAAACAAGTTTGGCACGCAGTCCTTTTTTAAAATCTCTGCTTGTCTCAGGTGTTTTCTAGCTGTTTTACTCTTATATCCATAGGACACGGAAAAGATGAGAATTGGGGAAAAATATTGGTTTTCTAGGAAGAAAAATACCTGTAGATTGTCTTAATCTAGAACTGACCGTCTAGTTGCACATGGCAGGGGTAGAGTGGATAATAACTGTGTGGTGAGCATATGGGTAGTATCATCTAGATGTTAAGATTTGACTCTTTGTTCTTCCAGGTGGAAAAGGAACTTACATATGAGAAGTTCAAAGCCTGGACAAATCCAGAAGAGATGACTACAAGTGAAGTTCAAGTTTTCCTCCCCCGGTTAAAGTTGGAGGAGAGTTATGACTTGGAGTCTTTTCTTCGGCGTTTAGGAATGTCTGATGCTTTTGAGGAAGTCAAGGCTGACTTTTCTGGGATGTCAACCGAGAAGAATGTGTACATCTCCAAGGTTGCACACAAGTGCTTTGCAGAGGTCAACGAGGAGGGCACAGAGGCAGCCGCGGCCAGCGCGGTGGTCATGAACACCAGGAGCATCAGCACAGAGTCACGGTTTTGTGCAGACCACCCTTTCCTCTTGTTCATCAGGCACCACAAGACCAACAGCATTCTCTTCTGCGGCAGGTTCTCATCTCCATGAAGAGGTGCTATTGCCGCACGTGCACTCTTTCCCTCTGCCTGCTGTGCCTTCCTTTAAATTCTATGTGGCCAAAGTGGCAGAGGTTTGATGCTAAAATAAAGTGTGTGCACATGGCAATTTGTGAATGTCTTCGATAAACATTTCACAGCCATTGGGAATAGCAGGCCTCAGAGGTGTGCAGTTTGGGCTCGGGAAGGTGAAGGCTCGTTTTAAAGTGTTTGGAGTGCTTTTCAGAGGCTCTGCCCTCACCTACCAACCATAGGGTGGCCAGCTCCTCTCAGTCTCAGCCCATTATTTGTGGGTGTTCTTAGGAGAACCTCAAGGATTCATGAACCAGCCCTCATATGTTCCTGTATCCTGAGATGATCTCACACCTCTACTCTCCGCCTCAGGCAGACCAACCCGGAGGGGCCATTCACAGTCCCCATCACTGACAAAGCCAGATATCTGCAAATCTGTAAACGCTACAGCGACCCAGTGTCTCATAAACACCTAAGGTAGTGTCTCCCCTCCCTCAGGATCATGCAGACAACCCTGTATGTCCCATGTTCCCTAAGTCCCTCATGAAAAGCCTCAGTCTTACCTTCTTTCCAAGAGGAAACTTCAGACACAAGTTCAAGGCTCAGCCATGGCCTTCAGGACTGGGCGGGGAGGCAGGTCTCTGAAACAGATGCTATGCCATCCTTTCCACTCCCTTCCCCTCTGAAACACAAAACCCCACAGGAGCCTCCACCCCAGCAACTTCTGGGAGCAAGGTCCTCTAATTAACCAGATAGGCTCAGACGAGGCTCGAGCATATCCTTTGCTTAAAGGAAAAGGACCTTCCTACATTATTATTTTTTATTTCCTGACTAAAAAGAAACATGGAAACCATAGAAAATTATACGAAGAAAACTTAAGTCACCCTCAATTCCACTACTCGGCAGCTGTTAACAGTGATGTATGAGCTTCTCGGTGCTGACGGGACTATTGGTGCTTCTCTTTAGCCCCTGACGCCACAGAGCTCACCAGGTGGGTCAAATTAGAAATCCAACAGGGGGCTCTAAGAAAGTTAGGAAGGCAGTTCCCCGCTACTGTTTACCGTCTTCTGGCGAGGGGACCAAAAACTCAGGGACCAAGGGTGAATTATCCAATAAGCAAGGTAAGCATGGTGCTTATCTCGCTTACCAGATCATCTGTAGTGAACAATTTCACATCTTTGATGTGGTGAAACCCATGTGAAATTGTTCACTACAGATTAGTAACTAAGCACAAGTAAGCCCATGCTTACCTTGCTTACTGGGTCATCGCTGCTGTCAGGGATTATACATTTAAAAAGAGGCTTTGATTCTGTAGGAAAGTGCTGTGAGGTTGGGAGAGAGATGAGAGGCCAGCCATACCTAGAAGCAGAATCTTTGATGTGGTGAAAAAACTGTGAAATTATTCACTACAGATGATCTCAGAAGCAAGGTAAGCACTATGCTTACCTTGCGTACTAGATAATCCACCCGTATCAGGGACCCCGTGCTGAGTTGTGTCCAGTGACTCTGGTCAGCTCTCAGCAGGTCCCTGGTGCCGAAGGAGGTCCTGAGAAGACACAGTGAGATCCTGAGACTCAGGCCTTTGGTGCGAGACTGTGAGTCTATCCGGGAAGACTAGCGCTAGCGCCGTGGCTAGTTGGCCTCCATGAGGAGGGAGGTGATCTTGTTCAACTTAGTGAGGGGTGGTCTCTTGCGGAGCATCACACAGATCCCTTCCTCTGGGTGCCCCGACCAAGGCCACTTTGCCTAAGGGGGAGGGGGATGTGAGAAGACGAGAGCACCTGAGACCCTCTCCTTCCTCAGCTGGTACTATTCGTTTCCGATAGGTTTGGCCCACCCATGATGAGTTTCCTGCTACCAAAATACGTGTCTGGACCACCTCACAGAGGTTATATCAGCCCTGCAAGCCACTCTGAGGGTCCTGGGGGTCAGTTGTGAGGGACTGGGAACAGTGGATGGTGAGACTGTTAACCAGACTCAGATTCCTTTGTGCTGCTCCTGGTAGTTACAGAACCCAACTAAAACTCGTCGTGAGGTCAAGTCAGTAGGTCAACAATACAGCCTGTATCTTCACTGAATTCTAGGGTATGGAGAAATCAGCTACTGCCGAGACTGTAAAAATGGACCAGCAGAGAGATAAGTGGTAGTTGGGCGCCATCACCCGGACAATCCGGGCAACACCCTTTGTGCATAGATCTCTGGATCCAGTTACTCAATAACCGGGTCTCAAAGGAGATGGATGGGCTCCCCACCAAGAAACTCACGGCCAGGTACCGGCTGCCGGGGGCCCAACATCAGCCCTACTAGGGTCCCCACAGTGATGGCCCCTGTGACTCATATGAGTGCCTCCCCCCACCCCTCCCAGTGAATTGGAGAAGAGTAGAAGATAGAAGCCCCTCCCAACCCCAAGCCTTTTCTAGGCCTCTCAGCTTTCAAGAATAAACATGACTAGGGGTTAAGCTGAGGTACCTCTGTTCTGGGAGGGGATGGAGGCCCTAAGCCAAGGGGAGAGTTCAATGGGGAGGTGGGGGATAAGTGCACTTCTTGGGTCTTCTGGATACCAGTGCACAGGCGACTGTGATCCCCGCAATTCCTGGCACCGGAATGAGAGAGAAACACATATTCCTCACATATTCCTCTCTGGTTTGGGGTCCGAGGCCACTGGCACCAGGACCCTTACCCAGACCCAACCATGGGTAGATCTCTTCAGGCCCCTGCAAACCTCCACTGTAACTGCCTCTCTACTGAATGTATTATTGGTATTGGTGTGTTATCTATGTGCACCCCCACTTGCCTTCACCCCCAAGCCCTGACAGGAATTGCTGCTTTAGGGCCATCTTAGTGGGGCATATGGAAGCTGGTGAACCTACCCAGCTACCCGGGTGTGTTAGTCATCTAGTGCTGCTATAATAGAAATACCACAAGCGGATGGCTTTAACAAAGAGTAATTCATTCTCTCACAGTCTACTAGGATACAAGTCCAAATTCAAGGCATCAGCTCCAGGGGAAGGCTTTCTCTGTCGGCTCTGGAGGAAGGTCCTTGTCATCAATCTTCCCTTGGTCTGGGAGCATCTCAGCACAGGAATCGCAGGTCCAAAGGACACACTCTGCTCCCAGTGCTTCTTTCTTGGTGGTACGAGGTCCCCACCTCTGCTCGCTTCCCTTTCCTTTTATCTCTTGTAAGATAAAAGGTGGTGCAGGCCACATTCCAGGGAAACTCCCTTTACATTGGATCAGGGATGTGACCTTAGTAAGGGTGTTATAATCCCACCCTAATCCTCTTTAACATAAAATTACAATCACAAAATGGAGGACAACCACACAATACTGGGAATCATGGCCTAACCAAGGTAACATGTATTTTTAGGGGACACAATTCAATCTGATACCACACCTAGCGCCATTGTCTCCCCAAAACATTATTGGCTGCCTGGGCAAGAAAAGTTTCAGACCCTCTCTCAGAAACTAAGAATGGAAAAATAGAGAAAGGTTGAGATGTAGATGATCAATTCAGCAGGTCCAACACTCTATGTGCATGAATTCTAGACCATTAAATAGAAGAAACGAAAAACCAAACCCGTTGCTGTCGAGTTGATTCTAACTCATAGTGACCCTACAGAACAGGGTAGAACTGCCCCATAGGGGTTCCAAGAAGCAGCTGGTGGATTCGAACTGCAGGCTTTTTGATCAGCAGCTGAGCTCTTAACCACTGTGCCACCAGGGCTCGAAACAGGAGAATAAAACCAACCAAGCTCATTGCCGTCTAGTCGATTCCGACTCATAGTGACCGTATAAGACAGAGTAGAACTGCCCCACAGGGTTTCCAAGGAGCAGCTGGTGGATTCAAACTGCTGACATTTTGTTAGCAGCCAAGCTCTTAACCACTTCGCCACCAGGGCTCCAATAGGAGAATAAAAAGGAAGAATTAATCAAATTAATTATACCACATTTCCTAAACTCTCAGATGACCTTAGCTATAAAATGCATGATTTTATGTATCACTAAGGAAATAAAAGCTCTGCCAATTATGACACGTTTTCTTTCACTTAAAGAATGTTTATAATATGTAGGAGCTCTTTTAGATGTATTTTAGATTGTTCTTGTTCATGCAGAAAAATTAAATATTTGCAAAATAAATTACAAAATAACCTTAGGACGTATTGAGAGTCTCTCCAAGCGTCTATTAGCTGCTGGTGATCTTTGTTGTTCCCGGGCTTATAGATTCATCCGCCTCCATCATCACGTGGCCAGTCTCCTCTGTTTCTATTTATTTCTGTGCCTGTCCTCTTCTTTTATAAGATACCACTCAGAAGGAATTAAAATTAAGACCCACCCAACTCTGGGATGGCTTCATTAACATAACTGATAAAATCCTCAAAAAGAAAAAAAAAAAAGACTCTATTTCCCCAAACAGGGTCCCATTCACTGGTGTAGGGGTAAAGACTTCAGCACACCTTTTTGGGTCAGAGTAGAAACCACAGGGTTTTCAATGGCTCATTTTTTGGAAGTAGATCACCCTACGTTTCTTCCGAGGTGCCTCTGGGTGGACTCTAACCTCCAATCTTTCAGTTAGCAGCCAAGTGCATTAACCATTTGCACCACCCAGGGACTCCATGTTTTGGGGTGACACATTCAATCTCTAAAACAGGGCCTTTCCCAGTGCCCTTCTGAGTTCTCCATCCTTTTGCCCTGTATTTTTCTGGAATGGATAGTCTTTGCCCCTGTATTCTGTATCATGTCAGATAGACTTAACAGCAGAAGGCAATAACCTATACAATGTCCTCTCAATTTGCAGTTGTGAAGATGGTAGGGAGGTGGATTACAGGAAGGCTATGACTTATAGGGAGCTCTGGTGGCACAGTGGTTAAGAGCTCAGCTGCTAACCGAAAGGTCAGCAGTTCAAATCCACCAGCCACTCCTAAGAAACTCTATGGGGCAGTTCCATCCTGTCTTTTAGGGTCGCTATGAGTCAGAACTGACAGTACCTAGCAACAACAACAGTGACTCATTAAGCACAGCACACAATGGATAGAATGAGGCAAGACAAATATCAT